ATGTGGGACCAGGTCAAATACTGAAAAGGCTATGGACCCTGTTTCAATTGTGGATCTCTGGTTTGCTGCCCTCCTAGTCCTAGAGGGACCCTCCAGGGAAATCCCCGCCCATCCAATGCCCACACTGGTGAGCCTGTCACCAGATTCCAGTCCTAGCTGCCCTCACTCCACACACCAGCCTCATCAGTGTCAAAAGGGCGGGGCCGGGTGTTCAGCAAAGCATGCTGCCAAGCCCCATGCCTGCCAAGAGGTGGGGCAGGTCAAGAAGGCAGTCCCACCTGCGAGAACTAGTCCCCCCAAATGTCAGTACCTATGACAGCCCTATGGCTCCCTCCACACCCACCCCCATTTTCAAAGCCCAAAGTGGAGCAGAGACCACTGGGGGGATCCTTGGGGAAACAAGAAATTTCCCCAATGTAAGAAAGTTGTCTGAGTAATAGATCTGCTTCACGATGGCTCTCTTGGGTGGGAGGGAGCTCCCCATCCCTGGAGGTGAGCAAGCAGCAGCTTCCCAGAGGAAATTTCTTTGTTGGGAAATTCTAAGAGTCCCTCCTCTTGCCAAGATCCTCTGCTCTCTGCTCCAAGATCTGAGCTTTTGAGATTTCACAACTCAAAGTTGTAATAACAATAATGGTTGCAATCCACTGAGCCCCAGGCATCCTACAGGGACACATAGCCCCTAGGAACCCTTTGAACCCTCAGCCTAGCCCAAGAGAACGGCATTATTGTATCTACTATTCTCCCCATTTGAAAATGGGAAAACTGAGACACCAGACATTGAGTGACGGGAGCCAGAGGTGGGATTTGAACCCTGGAAGTCTAACTCCTGTCCTAGCCCTTCTTCACTGCAATACACCCCCTCTTATGGTAGAGGGAGCACTAACAGCCAATTCACTGAGCACTTAGACAGGGCGGTCACTGTCCTAGGTACTGGCTCCACGCCCTTCTCTTCTCACAGGAATCCTGGGAGGGGAGTGTTATGTATAGTACAGAGGAATTGAGGTTCAGAGAGGCAAAATGACTTCCCTAAGATTGCACAGCAGGTGAGAGGGGGTTGGAATTTGAAGCTGGGGGTGTCTGATGTCATGCGCTCCACTCCCATCCACTGTGCCTTTGGGGCGTTGGCCCCTGGGTTGTGGAGAGGCCAAAGCACCCGATTCTGCCATCTTCCCTGGAACTCACTCCAAACCTTTATTATTTTAAGACAAAGGGGGATTTAAGAGCACCTATGAAAATGCCATGTGTGTCACTTACAATCTAGTCTAGACAACGGCTGTTTGATACATGGAAAAATTGAATCATTGGGGGTGGTTACTTAATGATGCAGGCCCCGGGGC